CCCTATGTCCATTTCGGAAAACCTGCACTGTTTAGCACATTCGCCGCTTCTGCGATCACAACGTCCACGACAACCCAAAAAGCCTCCTGGGTCGCCCCAAGACGGCGCACGAGGCCCCCAAGAGGGCTCTCAGGCGATCGAAGAGGGCCCAAAGACAGCTCAAAACACACACACACACACACACACACACACAAACAAACAAAAAATGCCAAGAGGGCACCAAAAGGCTCCGGACGGTCCAAGAGGGCCGCGAGCCGCTGAAAGATCTATCGAAAACGCCCACGCTGGCCTCCAGACTGCCCAAGAAGCCCCAAAGACGCTCCAAGAAACCCTCCAGAAGCGTCCCAAGGCGGCCTCAAAGAGTAACAATCGCCCCGCTGCCGTAGGAAAACGTGCATGTTCAGCTAATGCGCTTGTTGTACGGTCACAACGTCCAAGATAGCCCAAGAAGCCTCCTTGATCAGAGGCCCCAAGAGGGCCCCCAGACGGCCCAAGAGGGCCCCAAGGCCGTTGAAGAAACCCCCAAGACGGCCCAGGGCTGCTCCAGGACACTCCCAAGAAACGGCCCAGATGGGGAGCCCGAACCAGCATTTCGAGCCTTCGACCCCAAACCGCCCCCCGGCTACCCCAAGAAGCCCCCAACACGCGCCCAGGGAGCTCCGAGAGGCCAGAAAGAAGCTCCCATAAATGTTTCCCAAACGCCCCCGAGAAGCCTTCCACAAGACCCCGTCTGCCGTCCGCACGGCCTCAGACCCAGTGCCCGGGCACGGTGGCGGGATGTGCCGACGGCCATTCGATCCGCCGCCCCCTGTTGATTCATCACAGGGGTGCCTGGCGTGCTAGATGATCTCGGTTTTGGTTTTGGCTCTTGTCCAAAAGAAGTCCCCCTGGGGCTCCGGCGCGTCCCGCCGGCCACCCGAAAAGATTGCCCAGGATGCCCGGAGCCGGTTGCCAAGGGTTTTTCCGTTCCAGACGGCCCCAAGATGGCCCAAGATGGCCTCCAAGACGCCTCCAAGACGGCCAAGATGGCCTCCAAGACGGCTAAGATGGCCCCAGGATGCCTCCAACACGGCCCAAGATGCACCCAAGACGGCCCAAGATAGCCTCAAGATGGTTCAAGACGGCCCAAGAGGCCCCCAAGAGGCCTCCAAGAGGACCCAAGAGGCCTCCAAGAGGTCCTCTAGGAAGGCCCGTGGAAGCCAAAATCATTGATTTCCCTTAGGTTTTTGAAGGATTTTAACATTTGCTCCTTTACGGTCTCCGACGGCTTAAGACGGCCGCAGAGGCCCCCAAGACCGGCCACGAGCCGCCAAGATGGCCCATGACGGCCCAAGAGTACCCCAAGACGGCCCCAAGACGGCCCAAGAGGCCTGCAAGACAGCCAAAATGACCTCCAAGACGGCTAAGATGGCCCCAAGATGCCTCCAACATGGCCCAAGATGCACCCAAAACTGCCTAAGATGGCCTCAAGATGGCCCTAGACGGCCCAAGAGGCCTCCAAGACGGCCCAAAAGGCGTCCAAGAGGTCTTCCAGAAGAGGCCAAAATCGTTGATTGTCCTACGGTGTTTGAAAGATTTTGGCATTTGCTTCTTCTCGGCATTCGAACGGCTCAAGACGGCGCAAGAGGCCCCCAAGAACGCCCAAGAGGCCTCCAAGATGGCCCCATGACGGCCCAAAAAACTCCCAAGACGGCCCCAAGAGGGCCCCAAAACGGCCCAAGAGGCCTCCAAGACGCCCAAGATGGCCTCTAAGAGCCCTCATCAGCAGCGCACCACGACCGCCCGTTCATCAAGGGCACGGCGGTGTGGCGTAAGCCCAAGAATAATGCATAGTGGCGGGATCGGGAGATTTGGCATGATCTATCACGATGCTAGATTCTGTTCGCGAAACCGGATGCTGGGGGAGGGCGGCGGGCAACGGTCACGGAGCAAGTTTCGAGCCTCAGCGGGGGCGATCAGGGCCTCGGCGGATTCTGGGAGAGCATGGGAAGACCTGGGAGGACCCTCGAGGACGTGACGGAGCCAGCCCGAGAGACCTCGGCTGAGCCTGCCCAGCCACGTTTTCCGCACAGGCCAAACCGGCCCTACGCCGAGCCGTTTCACCACTCCGGGGGCACGGGGGCTGGCGGGCGCGGGTCACTTCAAGGGGGCACCTTGGAGCCACGTCCATGCCCTGCCCTTGCCCCCTCGTAGGGCTTGTATTCATCCTCCCTCCTCCCACCCCCCCTCCTCCTCCTCCTCCTCTTCCTCCCTTCCTCCTCCTCGTACTCCTCCTCATCCCCTACAGCGGAATGCCCCCTGGTCAAGTGTCTCCGCCCCCCGTCATCATCCACCGGACATTGCCTCAGCCACCAACGTGGCAATTAAGACGTGGTAAGACGTGGCAGTGAGGTCACTGCGCGAGTGTATGTTCGCGTGTCCCGGAACCCGGGAGACCGAGTGTAGAATGTACTTGAGCCAGACGGTCGCGGAGAGGTGAGGAGGGAGGCGGATGGGAGGAAGAAGGGGTGAGGAGAAAGAGAGCAGGGAGGTGGGAGAAAGGATGGTCAAGGGAGCAAGAAGTAGAGAGGGGGGCAGGATGGACGAGGAAGGAGCGGGGGAAAGAGGAGGAGGCAGTGAGGGAGAGAGGGAGCAAGGGCTAGAGGTCAGGCACTTGCAGTGGCGGGATTCACCCCGCGGGGTGTCCCCACTCCCGCAGCAGGGGGAGAGACCTGGGAGCCCCCAGCCTCCCGCAGATCAATGCGAAAATCAGGCTCGGCTTCCTCCCCTCCCTTCCGCTTCCATCGAATGTTCCTTATAAGTGTTAGCTAGCGTGGACCCCAAACAGAGAGCTGCTGCATCGTGAATGTGTACGTTATGTCGTGTCAGCTATATGGCGCAAGCTACGTGGCGCAAGCCATGTGGTGCAAACTATGTGGTGTAAGCTATGTGGTGGCATCGACGTGGTGCAAGCTATGTGGTATAAGCTATGTGGTGCAGGCTATGTGGTGTAAGCCATGTGGTGACGCGGCCACCTGGCGGCAACGGGCGGCAACGGGCGGCAGCGCGGCGTAACCTCGGCGGACCACCCAAGCGGCCACGAGGCGGCAACGGGTGGCAACCGACAGCAACGGGCGGCAGCGGGGAGAATCCTCGGCGGACCCCCAAGCGGCAAAGAGGCGGCTACCGGCGGCTACGGACGGCATCGGGCGGCGTCGTGGCGAATCCTTGGCGGACCCCCCAAGCGGCAGCGAGGCGGCAACGGGCGGCAACAGGCCGGAACGTGGCAAGTGCTCGGCGGACCCCAGGCGGCCATGGGCGGGAACGTGGCAAATCCTCGGCCCACACACCCCACGCGGCAACGCGGCGGCCACGAGGCGGCAAAGTGGCGGCAACGGGCCAACCAGTGAGTGGGCGGCAACGAGGCGGCTACGAGGCGGCCACGGGCGGCGATGCGGCGAAGCTTCGGCGGCCCCAACCGATGAGTGGGCGGCAGCGAGACGGCCACGGGCGGCGACGCGGCGAGGCCTCGGCGACCCAAACCAATGACTGGGCGGCAACGAGGCAACCGCGAGGCGGCCGAACCTCCGCAGACCGAACCAATGACTGGGCGGCAGCACAGCGAGGCGGCCACGAGGCAGCCACGGGCGGCGACGCAGCGAAACCTCGGCGGACCCGTCCAATTCCTTCGTGGCCCAAGCAAGACGCCCCAAATGCAAGCACAGTCTGGGGCATAGCTCTTCCCTGCCGCAACCCCAGACGTGTGGCTAGGGCGGGCCGGGCGTTTCTCCTGAGATTTCCTCACCACATGGAGTCCTGACCCGCGAAATTTGCAACAGCTGCACGGATGGAGGACGGGTCAGTTTCAAAAGGTGGTTCTGGTTTTAGCGCCCCGCACATTCGTCTTGGACTTTTGCAGCCGCTTCACGGATGGAGCACAGGTCCTCTTCAAAATGTGGCCCTCGCCCCAGCACCATGCACATTTGTCTTCAATGGTCGCAGTGCAGGGCGATTTCTTTTCAGAATGTGACTCTCGCCCCAGCGCCACGCAGACTCGTTGCAACAGTCTGTAGCAGCTTCGCGGATGGAGGGAGGTGGTTTTCAATGTGGGTCTCGACGTAGCGCCGCGCGCATTCATCTCAAAGTTTACAACAGCTTCACGTGTGGAAGGGGGTCCTTTTTTGTCCATTATTCAGTGCGGTTCTCGCCTTCGCGCCGCGAGCACTCGTCTGAAACATGTGCGACCGCTTGACGGATGGAGGGCTTATTTTCAAAATGGGGACTCGCCTTAGCGCCGCGAGTCGGACCTCTAATAGCTGGCACTAGCGTCACGGTTGGAGGGCGATTATTTTCCCATCAAACATGAAACATTTCGTTTCAAAACGTTGCAACAATTTACTTCAAAACGCTTCAACAACGCTGCAACAATTTAAAGGATTTGAGCACCGGTCGTGTTCATCATGGGGCTCTCGCCCTGGCGCCGCGCGCAGTCTTTTTGTTTAACGCGGGAGTGGTCAAGATCGGGGACGACACTTGCTCCGAGAAGGAAAATTATCCCCTGAGGCTCCGCGAAGCTGAAAAGCCCGAAACGTCAACGCACGTAGCGCTGCACAGATCCATGGTGGCTCTTTTCCAAGCGGAGCTGTCATTTGACTGCTTCTCGAGATTCATGGCCCCAGATGCAAACACATGCAACCGTTACACGGATGGGGGGCGGTCCTCCTTCGAAAGAGAATATCTCGCTGGACACCCAACTTAACTGTGTGACCATTGTCTCTCGCGTTCCTGATTACGCGCCGGTAAGATGCAAGGCTCCTTATTGTCAAAACGGGGCCACCGCCAAAATGGCAAGCCCGACTGCGCTGGTCTTTCGAAGAGAGGGGGTGTAGCGAAAGGTAAACTTGCAGGGGCGAACGAAGAAAGGACTTGGGACGGCAGCGTGTGTTCAGCATCCTCTGTTGCATGTCGTTTACGCTGGTCCTTCTCCTCCTCCTCCTCATCATCATCATCCTCCTCCGCGCAGCGCACATTATTCATTGTGACAATTTGAAATCGCTACAAGGACGGAGGGGGTCGTTTACAACATGGGCTATTTGCCTTTCTGCCGCACACATTCGTCTCTAAAGTTCGCAGCAGCTACCATACTGGAGGACACACATTTAAAAGTGTGGTTCTCGCCTCAGCGCCAAGGACCTTTTGTCTTACAGGCTTGCAGCAGACACAAGAATCGAAGGCAGCTGCTTTTCAAATGGAGCTCTCGCCCTGGCGCCGCGAACGTGCGTCTTGAACGTTGACTTCAGCCGATACAGCGATGGAAGACAACTCTTTTTCGAAATGGAGTTTCCGCTGGAGCCGTCCTTAACCAGCAAGACCCAAAAGTTTGAACATGTGCGACAATTGTGTGGGTGAAATGCGGCTCATTTCCAAAGTCTGGCTCTCCCTTGAGGCCTCTTCGGGGGTCATGACCAGAACCGCAGACTTGTGCAGCACTTACACAAAGCGGGCGGCTATCTGTGAAAGCGCAGATATCGATGGACACCTCGCTGAATTGTATGATCACACCTTTTCGCGTACCGTACTGTTCGCTAGACAATTGCGCGGCAATTCCTTTCAGAACGAGGCTCTCGCCTGAATGGCGGACCCATTTGGTGCTGGTCCTTGAAGAGGGAGAACTTCTAGTGGAAAGGAAAAACTGTAGGTACTTATGAGGCGAATAGTTGGGGACGGCAGGGTGCATTGCAGCATTGTTGGTGAATATTGCGCCTACTCGTTAGCCTCCTCTTCCTCGTCCTCCCTCCCCCTTCCCGTCCCACTCCGATCAACAATGCCACCATCACCATCATCAGATTCCGCATCACCATTGCCACTACCATCACCACCACTACCACCATCATAACCATCAACATCATCATCATCATCATCATCATCATCATCATCATCAGCAGCATGACAATAATAAGCATCAGCATCATCAGCATCACCATCAGCATCAGCATCATCAGTACCATCATCAACATCAGCATCGCTGTCGTAATCATAATCGCAATCAGCATCCTCATCATCAGCATCAGCATCCGCATCGGCATCCGCATCAGCATCATCAGCACTACCACTACCATCATCAAGATCACCATGATACTCATCATCATAATCAGCATCACCATCACCATCAGCATCAGCATCAGCATCAGCATCAGCATCATCGTCATCAGAATCAGCAGCATCATCGTCATCGGTATCATCGGTGTCATATCGATCATTGGCCTCAACATCAACACAATCATGCATCATCATAAACATCATCATCATCATCACAGTCGCAATCATCATCGCAATCAGCATCCTCATCATCCGCATCAGCATCAGCATCGGCATCATCATCATCATCATTATCATCATCATCATCATCATCATCACTATCACTACTGTCATCAAGATCACCATGAGTATCATCATCACCATCACCATCAGCATCAGCAACAGCAGCAGCAGCATCGTCATCAGGATCCGCAGCATCATCATCACCATCATCATCGACATCATATGTATTACCGGTCTCAAAATCAACGCCATCATTATCATCATCAGCATCATCATCCTCATCAGCAGCATCCTCATCAGCATCACCAGCATCATCAGCATCATCATCCGCAGCAGCATCATCATCAGCATCATCATCATCATCAGCATCATCATCATCAGCATCATCATCATCATCATCATCATCAGCATCATCATCAGCATCATCATCATCATCATCATCATCATCATCATCATCATTAGCAGCAGCAGCACAATAATCATTAAATCATCACCACCACCGTCGTCGTGCAGTCCTCGCGCTGCGACGGCCACCCGCGCGCTGGGCGAGGAGAAAGGGGGGAGAAGGGAGAAGACGAGAAAGGAGCAAAAGAGAGCGTTGCATGAGAAGAGCCCTCCCCCTCCCCATCCTTCGCCCTCCTCCTCCTCCTCCTCCTCCTCCTCCTCCTCCTCATTTCCCCTCCTCCTGCTCCTCCTCGGCCTCATCCTTCTCCTGCTCCTCCTCCTCCTCCTTCTCCTCCTCCCCTTCTCCTCCTCCCCCTTCTCCGTCTCCTCCTCCCCCTCTCCTCCCTCTCTGGGGGTCTCCAGGGCCTCCTGATGGTCTCTGGAGACCCGGAAAGAGCGGGGAACGTCCAACAAACCCCGATCGACGATCCTTGTCGTCGCGATCGTCGTCGGTGGTCGTCGTCGTCGGTCAGTCCGACGGCTGGCCTGTCGGTCGTCGTCGTCATTTTCGGTCGTTGCTCGTCAGTCGGTCGATCGTGATCTCAAACGGTCGTCGGTCTCGGTCGGTCGTCGTCGACCGCCGATCGTCATCGCCAGTCGTCGTACGTAAAGTCGGTTGGTCGTCGTCAGTCCTCGTCGACCGTTCTCGTCCTCGTCCACCGTTCTCGTCCTCGTCGCCGTCAAAGGGTGCAGCAGGTGACGCGCGGCCGCGCGGCCCACCGAGGCCTTCGCATCGCCGTCGAGGCCGCCAGCGACCTGGGGCAGGCTTCGGCTTCGGCTCCCTTTGGCAACCGCGGCGCGCTCTCGCGATGCCCCAACGTGCGGGAGATGACCTCCAGCACGTTCTCTTCGGGGTGGAGACTTTCTCCCCCTCCTCTCTCACTTCTCCTTATGGATAACTCCTCCCTGTCGCACCCTGAGACGTGTCGGTAGGGCGGGCTGGGCGCTTCACGGATGGAGGGCTGGTCGCTTTCAAAATGTGGCTCTCCCAGTCGGCACCGCGCACATTCGCATTAAAAGTCCGAATGGGCTTTACGGATGGAGGGTGGCTCCTTGTCCAAATGTGGCTATCTCTGCGCACATTCTTCGTAAAAGTTGTCATGAGCTTCCCGGATGGAGGGCGGGGGTTTTCAAAATGTGACTCTCGCCGCAGCTCTGCGCACATTCGTCTCAAAAATTCGCAGGAGTCTCACCAATGGGAGCCGGCGTGTACTCAAAATGATGATATCGCCTTAGCGCCGCGCACTTTCGTTGCGCAAAAGTTTAGAACATATTCGTGGATTCTTATGTCTGGCGTCCCAGGAACGGTGTTACGGTACGAACTAAGATTGTCAAGGCGCACTAGTCACGTGGATTCGCGGTGTTGAAGTCCCCAGAGTGGTGTTCTGGCACGATTACGGATCGTCAGGACGCAACAGTCCAGTCAGTTCGCAGCGTCCAAAGAGTGGTGTGTTGGCACGATTGAGGATTACCAGAGGGCCGCATTCCAACGGAACACTTCCAGAACTGATGATGAATCCTTGCAGGGACCTATGACAGGGGGAACGTTGAGGTAGGGTTCATTGCAACATCGTTGGTGCGTCGTGGGTTCGTACTGGTCCCCATCCTCCTCCTCCATCTCCTCCTCCAACTTCTCTCCCTCGTCGTCGTCGTCGTCGTCGTCGTCGTCGTCGTCCTCCTCCTCCTCCTCCTCCTCCTCCTCCTCCTCCTCCTCCTCCTCCTCCTCCTCCTCCTCCTCCTCCTCCTCCTCCTCCTCCTCATTATCATCAAGCTCGCCACCACCATCAAAACCGTCGCCGCCATAGCGAATTCTATCACAACCACCAGTATGCACGACCTCCTCGGGGAGGAGGCGTCGTCGTCATCCTCCTCCTCCTCCGCCCTCCTCCTCATCATCCTCGTCCTCCTCCCCATACACATCCACTTCCTTTCCTTCTCACCATCACTATCATACGTCTCATTTCCTCCTCCTCTTTCATTGCTCCTCTTCCTCCTCCTTCCCCGTGTCCTTCTTCGTTGTTCCTCCTTGTGATCCAAGGGCTCGTCCTCCTCCTCCTCCTCCTCCTCCTCCTCCTCCTCCTCCTCCTCCTCCTCCCTCCTCCCTCCTCCTTCCTCCCTCCTCCTCTCTCTCCTCCTCCTCAGCCGCCGTTTCCTGCTCCAGCCTCATCCTTCGCGGCCCAGCAGGCAGCCCACGCAGAGCAGCTTCCGCCCTCAGGGCACCCTTCATGTCATGCCAGCGCGGCTGGCCATCCATATTTCTTCTCTGGCGATCTTCTGGATGACATTCATGCGGTGGGGCGTGTACAATCCGCTCAGCATGGTCGCGCCATTAAGAAGCATGGAGATTTCGAGACAGTTCAGCGCTGTCGACGTCGTCATGTTACCAGCCACTCGCTGGAGGCAGAACGACCCCACCAGCCCCGTCGACCAGCTCCAGGCCTACAAGCACCGCATCTTCACGTGGGGCTATGGCAGAGGCCCTTTCACCAACAATCACGCGGGCGTGGCCATCATGATCAGCAACCGCTACCGCCTCAAGTGCGTGACCGAGCTTCCCAGCCCGCCGCCGTGCATTCAAGGACGCGCAGGAGCAGTTCGCCTGCGTCGAGGAGAACTCGACATGACCTTCATTGTTGCGTACCTACCTCCACGGTCAGGGCTCGCCAAGCACCACAACGCCTGGGCCAAGACGGTCAACGAGACGCTCAAGTGGATCAACAAGACCCTGAACGAGACGCCCACCAGGAGCACGCCGATCATCGGCCTCGACCTGAACGACCACTACGGCCAGGACGGACTGCTTCCAGCCACGCCCAGCAACGTGATCGGCGACGCAGGCCCTACAGGAGTACCTGGCGAGGCAGCCGCTGCCTTCCATAACATGCTCGACGTGCACGGCATGTGCATCCTGAACACTTTCTGGAACGCGGGGCCCACGTACTTCGGAGCCCAAGGACAGGCCACACGTCCCGACTACATTGCAGTGCCTCAAGGACTATGTCCTCACATTACTTCTTGCAGAGTCTGGTGGCGAGCGGCCAAGGCACTACAACTCATCAACGACAACGTGCCGCGCGACCATGTCCCACTGATAGCAGCCGCCAACGTCATCATCCCGAATGTGTTCACAGATCTAGAGAGGACCGCCTGGGACTACGACAAGATGGCCCTGGCCCTGCAGACGGGCAAGTACCGCAAGAAGTTCAACGACGCACTGAAGTTCCATTTCGGCAAGCACCAGGACAAGCTGAAGGAGTTGGCAGGGGGCAACACAGCGGACGAACACTGGGAGCTCATCGTGAACATCATGAAGGAGGCAGCCAAACCCTTCTCCGAGCGCCAGAAGTCCAAGCCCGACCAGTACTACCAGCTCATGGAGGAACGTTTGCGGCTACTTCAGGAGCGCGCCAAGCTCAGAGAGGAGTACGTCGGGTCCGACCCCAACTATGAGATCGAGTACCAGATCGAGGTCCTCTCACGTGCCCTCAAGAAGCAGAAGCGCCAGCACGAAGCCGAACGAAGACAACACTTGGAGGAGCGCATCTACGAGGCTTGGCAACGACGAGAACACGCTGAAGTACATCAACTGTCTCGACTCCTGGCCGGCACCAACTACGGCAAGCGCAACCGCAACTACAGCCGCGCGACCAGAGCACGCCCCAGCTTGCTGGAGTGGGCAGATCACATTGCACAAGACGGCCAGCACGGAGGGTTCAGAGCTCACCAGATCGACCTCGAGGAGGAGAAGCGCATCTTGAAAGAGACCACCTACGAGTTCACCACCGAGCACAACCTACAAGTTCGCCAGGAATACGAGGACGCCAAGGACGGCATCAAGCGAGCACTCTACGGCGTCACCAAGAGGCTCAAGTACTTCAAGAAGCGCGCCTCCGTGCCAGACTGGCCACTGCCCGCCGAGATCTTCCAGATGACCCTCCAGCCCTCCAACATCACCAAGCAGAAGCCGAAGACGACAGGCGTGGGCTACGATGACGAGCTCGCTGAGGCTTCTCTCGCGCAGGAGAGCTTCGAGTCAGTCCTCAACCACGTGTACCGCGTCGGCTTCGCCCCACTCAACGCCCACCACAGCCAGAGCTTCACCCTCGACAAGAAGAACGGCAAGCCCAAGGTCCACGGCTTGCGCATACTCCGCATGATGTGCCCCTTCTGGCGCTGCTTCTACAGACAGCTCCAGTGCAAGTCCAAGCCGTGGTCACCGCCTCCTCACGCTCACGGTTGCTGGCCTCATAGGCGTCGCGAAGTCCCCATGGCAGCCCCCCGCATCGTCGCCCACCGCCTGCAGCGGGCCAAAGCAGACTTCATCGTCGGCAGCAAGGACGCCACCAACGCCTTCCCCAGCACCAAGATCGACAAGGCCATCAGCACCATCCCGACCGCCCTTAGCGCAACAGGACAACGTCTATTTCACCAACGCCACCAGCGCGCCAGCGTCCAGATCGACGGGTTCGACTCCACAGGCGACTTCTACCTCGGATCGGGGGTCATGCCAGGTTGCAGCACAGGACCGACATCCTTCAACTTCGTTTACGAGCAACCAGCGGGGCAATGGCTCGAGGAGACCCCGCAGGACACCGCCCCCTTCGCGGCCGCGTCACCCATCACGCACGCCCCGCTCGACCTTTCCGTCTACCTGTACGTCGACGACATCTTCAAGATGCACCTTGTCCCATCGGGCGCTGCGCGGGACGCCGCCTCGGCCCTCGCCAACAGCAACACCATCCTCGATCAGTGCCTTGCCGAGCGCGGGTTCCACCAGAACAGGGACAAGGAGGAGATCGTCGGAGGCCTGCGCGCGCGGAGGGAGAACCGAGCCGTAGCAGATCAAGTCCAAGGGCGCGTCCTTCGCACCCGCAAGTACCCGGGCGGCCACTTCCACCACGGCGGCAGCAACACCATCGAGATCGACATGCGCATTCAAAGCATCAAGCGAGCCTGGCACATCATGGGCAAGTTCTGGCATCGCAAAGTACCGTGGCGCCTCAAACGTATCATCTTCATTAACAAGGTGATTGGTGCCGCAACCAGCGGCATGGAATCCTACCTCCTCAAGGACACCGAATACAAGCGCCTCGACGCCGTCATTGCCACCTACATGCGCGTACTCATGCAAGGCAAAGCCACCAACATCGACGAAGCGGGCACCTACCGCACCATGGCCAACAGCGAAGTGTTCAAGCACTGCCACATCTCCCCGATGTACATTGAGCTGCGAGTGAGGAGGCTGCGCATGATACAGGCCTCTGTCAAGTACCCGCCCGATTACGATCAGTGGCTCACGGCACTCTTCGGCACCATCAAGTTCGAGAACGACTACAATCGTGAGCACATCGGAGAGCTTGACGACAATGGCCATCTCATCGCGGACGCGAACCCTATGGCGAAGCAGTACTACAACGACGTCCTCTCCATCCTCGAGTTAGACAGCGCCGAGGAGTTCAGCCACGCATGGGACGGGAGCATCACTCAACTGTATAACGACGCAGAAGTTGCAGCGGCCTTCATCAAGATCGATGTGGCAGAGCTCAGAGCCAGGGCAACAGCAGTACCGATTCCACCACCTGGTTTCGAGCCTCAACCACACGAACAAGACCAACGAGCAGGAGACGAACTGGGTTACTACAAGTGTGACCTGTTAACGGACGCGGGACAAGTCTGCGGCCGAGTTTTTCCATCATGGACAGCGCTCTGTACCCATCAGACCGCGACAAAAGGAGGAGAGCATGGGCTTCGATCAG